GCCGAAGGTCGTTCCACCACCGTGTTCGGTTCCAAGGCTCAATCTATTATATAAGTAGACCTTCCAGGTGGTTAGAAAGGTGATAGCCTGCAAGCAATAGGTCTAGTGCTTAAAATATTTGCAGCACAATTTTGTAGCTCAGCTAGTTCAACTTGTGCAGTGCTGGAAGTGCGAGATGGGGCTGCGCAACAGTGGGAAAATGCTCGGCGGCACCCAATTTTCCACTTCATCAGGGGATTTTACCTCAACAAATTCTTGGATCTTCCTTACATTTTCTCCAGCTAAAAAAATGCAGTGTGGTGAAAGCTGACATATAAAGTTAGGTTCTAGAAAGTGCTGCGTACTCAACCGTATGGCACCTAGCCCAAAGTTTTTTCGTATTCTAACAATACAGTGCGTACCAAAAGTATGTGGACACCCTAGAATCGATTCTCAGGGGTCAGCTAAAGGCTTTTTGTGTTATGAAACCTTCACCATTCAACTCCTAGTGGTCGATAACCTACAATGATATTTTCGGCAAAAGATTTCGTTCTAACTTAGCGAACTATTTTTCATGGAAAGTTTTTTCTTTGTATCAAAATTATGTGGACACTTTTTGAAAAACGGCAATATCTTCAGAATCTGAAATCGGTAGGCCAAAGTTTCTAGTAAGTTGAGCCATTCTGTTTGGCATGCTATGAATGGGGTCTGGATACATGTCTTGCAGATCTGTTCCCAACTAGCAAATTTCACCGACGTGTTAGGTCACTTGTGATATTACTCTTTTGTTCAATGACGTAGAGACCGCGAACCACGATACCTCTACGTTTTCAATAAGGATGAAGTCTGAGGAATACGCTAGCCGACTTGCCAATCAAAGCCGTTGCGTTTAGCATTTTTCCAAATGGAATGGTGTCAGGGACCTCCCCTGCAAAACAAGTGATTTGCGACCATGACTTTTCGAAAAAGGTTGTAGCCGGGACTCAAGCACCTCATTATAATCCTAGTCGTCTACCTGACATGTTGGCAAGCCAAACTTCAATGTCCCCCTCCTTTTGGAACCACCCCAGACCTTTGATGAACATCTTCCGAATTGTCTCTTCGAGCACATCTGCGGGTCCGACCAAAGTCTCTCCAAAAACCTCAAGACCCACCCGAATAGTAAGGAATAAGCTTCTTTCTGCCAGTCGAGTTGGTCTATGAGAGAAATTTCCACAGAAAGTCTTTTATACTAATTTTACCATTTCCACGAAAGCACTGTCTGTGTGGGTTCAAAGTATCATGTTGTGATCCTTTTTTGAGTGGGAATTCCAACCTTGCCAACCTGAACCCGCATTCATATACAAAGCCTTCTTCATCTTCTTTCGTGTCGTGTGCTCAATTGATTGAATGAGACACCGATTGGTCTTTTTTAAGATCGGGAAGATCATTTATGCGTAAAGTTGAGTAGTACGAAAAGAATAATTTGAGAAAATTAAGGCTATTCTTCTCCTGTTTTGAACAAGTAGCGATTGAGAACAACCCTCAGTCAAGGTCGAGAGCTTAGCATCAGGATTTCGGATTTCTCTCCAAACCTACGAGGACGCATGACTGGTTGACGTGCTATTTCGCAATAGGAAGGTTCAGAAGCATGGGGATCCCATTTCTGTGCTCGGTCTTCTTCAGAAAAACGCTTGCCGTGAAGAGGAATGATGCCAGAATAAGTAACGAAAGGAGAAGTAAAAATAGGTTAGGAAATCGATGCAAAAACTTCATCTGCCTCAGGGTGTCCACATAATTTTGATACAAAGAAAAAACTTTCCATGAAAAATAGTTCGCTAAGTTAGAACGAAATCTTTTGCCGAAAATGTCATTGTAGGTTATCGACCACTAGGAGTTGAATGGTGAAGGTTTCATAACACAAAAAGCCTTTAGCTGACCCTGAGAATCGATTCTAGGGTGTCACATACATACTTTTGGTACGCACTGTAGAGCGATATAGCATCGCACCTCAACCGTGCAAGAACGCTTTTGACAGCATGGCGCGAGGGACAACTTTAGTTGCATATCCCAAGCGTCATCGATACACTATAGAAAAGGTAGGGAAGGTCTTGGCAAAGAAAAGAGCTAGGAATATGGGCGAGAAACTCGTCAAATTTGAAGAAAAGTTGAGGAGGTTGTCCCAATAGATAGTGCATTCATTGACTGGTTCCACACTTAGGCCTGTTGAGGTTTCAGCAACTCCAAAAGGCTATTAACAGAGTACTGAATATGCTTGTTGTTTTTTACCATTCCGTCGATTGTTTTGTTGAATTATAAGCTTTCTACAATAATTTGAAACCTACTTGGAATTTGGGCATACTCGAGAATTTTTAGTAAAAGGACTTTTTCATTCCTAGCTCTCCCTCCCATCCAACACTTATACGCTTGCCTAGTGAAGAATGTTTGCCTAAACATATCAAAATTTGAACTGAATTGATTCAGCAGAAGAAAAGTTATGGTCGAATACTTTTGAGCGCTACTGTATGTCCCCCGCGTTGTCGTTATGTTAAAGTGTTGTATGGCAGCATTGAGGTCAAAAAAATGCTGCCCTACACGGAAAAGCAAAATATTGAAGTAAAAAAGAAATGTAAAAATAGAGGGAGCTTCGCAAGAGTCAAGCTCGCAACCTTTTCTTGATTTGCGCCTACTCTGTATGTTATAATAATAGATACAGATGTCTACGTATTGCGTTTGAAAAGTATATAAAAAATCGCACGTTGATGAGATAAATTCGAGAACGGATGGACAATAACTCACCTTAGAGTAGTCCGAAAGACATTCCTCTAGGTAAAATTGTTCCTCTTCTTCAATTGGCGCTAATCCATGGTCAGAGAGCACTATCAAGTTTGTTGACGCGAACAAATTGTGCTCTTCAAGTTTTTGCTGCAAATGGCAATATCATAAGCGAATTGTAACATTTCCTGCGCTTTTCATGGTCTATTCAAAAGAGGATAAGAGATTCAAAATTATCCTACTTGAAGTTCATGAATGTAAAGGTCTATTCTGGCGATAGCTTGATCGGCTTCATCTGAATGAGCACCGAACTGTCTCAAAGCGTTATCCACACCTGCATACCTCAGGAGAAACATCTAAACATACAAGAAGATGACAACAGCTAGACATGATTCACTGCCAGTGAGCGTGAGATCACTGCGAATTTTCCACAGTTACATTCATGGAAAGCTAACCTAATAACATGAAGTGTGTACCTGTTGTTTGTAAGCTTGATACTTGATGATACGGTTAATAATTTCTGGAAACACATCGGATAGCTTATCCGTTTGTCCAGGCGTGGTGAGATCGGTCCATCTCTTTGGAGGCACTTTCACAACCATGTCATAGTATGCTCTCTAAAATAAACTCCATTTTGGCTTCGTTGTTGCCGAGGAGGATTATGTGAAAAATAGCTCTCAAGAAGAACAGGGCCGTATGCTATGCTCCCCCAACAGGGGAGGGGTCCCCGTCCCGGTATGCTATGCTCCCCCGACAGTTCTCGGGGAGAGGCCACGCCCACCGATAGCCGGGGATATCTCCCCTATCGCCTGCCGATCGGGGCAAGCCGGGGATACCGTAATTTCGTAGCCGCCGTACGCATAATTGTCTGTCGCGCGCACAATTCTTCTATGGGTTGCGTACTGCAGTTTTAAGAATTGCTCATTTGTGAGTCACTACAAATATGATGTGCAGAATAAGGTTTAGAGTCGGACACCCTTAATCAATCCCCACCAAACTTATTTCAAATGATTTGGTCACGTTCGATCCCATGATTGTTATTTATAGCATCTTAAACAAAGATTTGGATGCTATGTTATATTTTTTACATTTTGCAGATTTTTAAGCTTGAGATTGTGAGCTATTACATTACGTGACAGTATTTACCGTTTAGTTGGAGGCAGCCTGATGTAGCTGTTTTCTATCGATCAGTTAACTATATTTTATCGAAGATAGAACCAGAGATTTTTTCACATGAAAAATATTGGCTATCGAAGCCACTTGACTTATTCACAAACGTGAACGCACTATTTCATTTCTACTGATCATATCGCACACTGACACAATTCTTATACGTAGAAAATAAAGGCAGTATCAAATGTCTTGCCAACCAACCATAATTAAGAAAACTTGAACGCAATATTAAAGGCAAATCGCACTCTGCGCTGGGAAAGGGGAACTGGAAGGATGAAACCGCGGATTTTCCCAATTACAGAATGAGCTCACTAAAAACCTGGTTAACTTTGAAGTGAGATATTGTGTGCAGGCTTAACCCATTGGCGACAATGCGATTTTTTATACACTCCAAATCTCGAAGTCTGATTGGGCGTGTCACCGGAAATGACGTGGCAGCCATCG